GTGTTCCTAAAATAGCTGTTCCCTAGTCCATCTTCCTCCCGCCTGTCGTTCTTTTCTACTTCATGCCACAAACTTATGAATTACAGTTGAAATATAAGCCTTACACTATTCTGAGGAGGAAAGAAGCTTGGTAAGAAAATATAAAGTTCGAAAGCTTGAGGAAAACACCCGTGAGAAGACCCTGCCCCATCCCTGTAGAAGCAGGTCCCTAGAATTCACTGTGATTCCTTGGTTAGTTTGATCCTTTGAGATGGTTGAGGAGGATTTTCAGAAATCAGGGAATTAATAATAGAAACTTTTCTTTTTCATCTTGTACTTGGCCAGAGCCCATCTATTTGTTTTCTGTTACTAATTCACATCCATAAAGCAAGTGTTATTCACCTGGCATTCACACCTGTGTTTATCTTTCAGCTCATAGTAGTAGTATTAAGGCTGGGGCCAATTCTAATGTCTGTAACATATCTGCTCTCAGTGTTTATTTTCCTCTTTACCTTACCTCTTTTACATTTCCAGATGAAAACAGGCTGCTTTGTGTACAAGAAAAGCACTTTCCTTAATTCTGGATGTCTGTCTGGCTCCTGCTACAGAGCACAGATTTAATCGATACACCACTGTGCACTATTGAATTAATAAAGCAGAGCAGCCCTCCACTGATCACAGTAAACGGTGTTTGTCGGGAAGGCAGCTAATGTTTGTTGAGTGGCTTCTGTGTGCCCTCCATATCCATGTTCTTCTCCATCTAAAGGTCTGTGAAGCAGGCAGTAATAACTGTATTTTCTTGGATAAAGATGCTGAGAATCAGTGTCCAAAAAGCTTGCCCGAGTTCACACAGTAAACAGTGGAGCTGGGTTTGGACCAGAAGCACTGGATTCGAAAGCCTTCATGCTTTTCCATGGCAGCAAAGATCACTCAGAGTCCCGATCTATCCCTGGTATTAAAAAGCCACTTAAAAGTGGGCTCAAATCCTGGCTCCAAAACAACCTCTGTGATTCGGGCCACTCACTTAACCTCCCTGAGCCAAATGAAGTTCCCCATCTGAAAAATGGGGTGACACTTAAGCCTCATAGCGTTACAGTGAGGATTTTAGAGAGACCCCACGAAAAGCACTTAGCAGTGCCTCTTCAGGCTCTGAGTGGAACAGTGTGGCTGCTCTCGCGTCACTATTTACCGTGTTTACATCATTAGCTGGTTCTCTGTTCAGACAGCCAGGCCAGCATAAGGCTGAGAGGAGGGGTGCACAGGAAGTGGACTGGGTGGAAGTTCGAAGAAAGCCGGGAGTGGACTTCAGGGTACCTGCACGCCTTCCTGCAGGAGGTCTTCCTGAAAGTAGACAGAGAACAGGGCCACCGCAAGCCAAGCATCGTGGGTGGACACTCTAAGAACAAACCTTTCTAGGTCAGTTCCAGAAGAGCTCAGGGGTGGGTGTGGGCAGGCCAGGGAGAAGAGGCAGCCTCCAGAGTCTTGGAAAACACTTGGAAGATGCTGGCCCGGGCTGCAGGTGGGGTGGGTGATGGTTCATAATGTCCTAAGGCATGGAGGGTGAGAGCAGGGCACAATGCTGGCATTCTCCTGACTGGGGCGCTTTCCCACGCACTAGCTCTCACTCTCCTGTCTGTCCCCTCTGCATTGATCCTGCAGAGCCCACTGATGCTGGGGTTCTTGTTTGTGGAGTCCAAGAGTGAACTTAGCAAACAGTCAAGGTAGGAGAGCCAGGGAGAGGCTTTTTTTAGAGATAAAGTGAGAGAACAGAACTCCCGGCTCGTGCCAGGAGGAGACAAGAGAGCCCATAGTGGTGCATTGTCTAGGGGTTTTATAGGCAGTTGACATTTTTGGGAACCAGATAAGAGGCTTAGGGGTGTGGACTTGTTAAATGGTCCCCTGAATATTAAAAATTAACTTAACACAAGAAGTTTACTGCTCTGATTTCTCCCTGCCGATACCGGCGTCTTGGTCTGGGAGCATATCGAAAAGCCACCTGCCCAGCCTCTAAGGTGGGCTGAGGTATATGTCTGTTTGCTAAAGAGTAAGTTAAGAATCTTACTGCTTAAACTTCCTGGGTGTTAAAATGCAATCTTACCTTTAAGGTGGAATCCTTCCTGCCTTGTACTATATTGTTTACAGGTGGGTCTGCATGCTAAATCAGTTGCCCAGTTTGCGAATCACCTCATCAGATCCAAAGGAGGAAAGACAGCACATAGGCCTAGGCCTTTAGCATTCTGAGGTGATTTTAGCATTCTGAGGTGAATCTTACACATGATTACAAATGATTAGCATAATAAAAACATGTGCTACTCTTCTTTATCTGGGGAATATTAACTGATCTCACTGAAGAATGACTTCAGAGCTTAATGCTTAACACAGAGTTTTGGTAGGGGGTTTCCTTGCACGTAGTCACATTGCTCTGACTGTAAATATCCTGCCCTGCTTATTCTGGAGGCCCTCACCCTATTCTGTCTAAGCCCATGGTCCCTGACTCACCATCACTGCTCCCAGCACCCCATCCCAGGCACTTTCCCTCCCTATAGGGTTCTCCTCCTGGACATTAATCATTTCATTTCTGTGTATTCTGATTCTGAAAGAAGGTGGAATTTGAAGGGAAGACCCTGGCTGGTGGATGGGTACAAAACAGAAGGCTTAGTCTTGGAAGACTACATGGGAAAAAAGAGTGAAAGGAGCCAGGAAAAGATAGGAGGGCCAACAAGAGGGGTCCAGAGAGAGAATTCTCAGGGTGCATTCATTTGGGGATGATTTGGTTGGGGTCAGAAGTTTCTAGGAGAGTAAAAAAGGTGTGATGGATACAAATGCGGTAACCCTAGGAATTCTGCTCCAGAGCAAGTAATGCATCAGGCTTTGAAAAGTTACTGCACATTTTTCAGGTGCACAGTCTAGAAGATTGTCAGATTTGTTTCCAGAAAGAATTTTACATTTTGAGTTTGGACTGAGATGGGTTTTGTGTTATTTATTTATTTATTTTTACCAGGGGCTTAGACTCCTGAAACATTGGGGGGAAGATAACAAGGAAAATTTATGTCCACTTCCTGCTGCTTTTCATCTTCATATTTTTCTTTCTTTTGAGAGTAAATAAAAGGCATTTCATTTCAATGTGACATGTGTGGATTTTGGAAAATGTAAATGCATTGCAGGCTCACCTTATGTTTTCATAAAGTAGGCCCTGCAATGGTCATTTCTAAGTAGTTGTAATTATAACATAAAAGGGTGCTTTGATTAAGCAGGTATTTTATTTAAGTCAAATCCATGAGTCAGACTGACATGTTACCAGTTGGTTCTGTGATAACTGGTAAAATTAATCAGAAATTCTCTCCAGGAGTCATTCAGGCTATGTTAGTTCATTAAAATTAGCTACCATGTGGTTCTTAACCTAGGAATTCTCCCATTGTTGCTGTGGAAACCAGCATTAAAAATTGTGGGTCAAGAAAGAAAAATAATTGGTGCTGAACATGAGTAAGCCACACAAGAAAAATTAATCAGAAATTCTCTCCAGGAGTCATTCAGGCTATGTTAGTTCATTAAAATTAGCTACCATGTGGTTCTTAACCTAGGAATTCTCCCATTGTTGCTGTGGAAACCAGCATTAAAAATTGTGGGTCAAGAAAGAAAAATAATTGGTGCTGAACATGAGTAAGCCACACAAGAAGTTAAGTTTTTTAAAAATACAAAATAAAAAAATAATCATGATACATGGAACCAAGCTGAGACTAGGAAGGTTCTGAATGAATCATGTAATTGAAATCATGGGTATTTTTTCTCAGAAACACTACAGAAAACACATTAAAAATTAAAAAGTCTTTAAATATGTATTTCCGCCTGTAGCCATGCCCACACAGCTGCCAGTGTAACGGTGCTGCAGAACGAGTCCCAGGAACAGGAACTGGGTGGCCCTGGCTCAGAGATAGTCAGTGGAAAAGTCTCCTCAACAGGAAAAGGAGGCAAGGACTGGAGGAGGTCACCACCTGAGCAAGGCTGGGGAGGCGGCCTATTGTCTTGCTCATAGGTGGCTAAGGCTGAGGGGACAGGAGGCCCAGGGCCACTTAGCACCAGCTATGATCCCTCAGAAACAGTTTGTTAGACCCCAGGTCCTGAGACTGTGGCCCCTGGAGTTAGCTGTCACCTACTGGGGTTTTGTAAAGTGCGTTTTTCAGTTTGTTTCTTTGAAAAGATGGAGCATTGCCTTCGTTTTTGGTAATCTGTCTCACAGCCTTGTTCATTAGAGTTGGTAGGGAAGGCAGAGTCAGACTGGAGCTGGAGCAGACCCTGAAGGACAGTTAGTCCTGCCCCATTGTGCTACCCAGGGAAGAAATGGGCTCAGGCATTTAGAGAGGGCAGGCTGGGCCTCAGAGATGACATCGCGGGATTGTGGGTCTGCTTGCTGATAGCAACACTCAGGCTACCTTCCGAAGCTTTGTATGAGGATTTAGGTTAGGGAGTAAGTCTTCCCTGGGATGTCAGATCTGGCCAATTAAAATATGCTCTATTAATTTTTAAATGATACCCATTTTGTTCTAAAGAAAAAGATCTGTGCTTCTTTGAAACCTAATTTTTCAAGTAATTCGTTTTGTCTATTTAAAAGGTAGGTCATTCCATTGTCGGTTAAGGCAGCAAGGCATATGGACATAGCATGTCTTGACTCAAGCTGGCCTGTTTTATATGGGGACATATATAATGTCCAGGTACATAGTAATACTGTGTTAGGTGTCCCTGACAGGGAAGAAGCCACCATTTGCTGAGAAGTAACTTCATGACATCAGTAATATTGCATGTATGTTTTTAACAATTTGGTGAAAGTTGTTGTGGAGGTGCAAAAATTGGCCTAGTGCAAAGGTTTCATCTCAGGAGTGGATTTCTCTACTCGCAGCCCTGTGGGGAGCCCTTGTTCCCTGGGGCAGCAATGGTGAACGTGGATAAGGGGGTGAAGCTCTGATACATCACTCAGCAGGCTCAAGCTGTAGACCCATGTGCTCTTCTTTTCTGCTCTTCTGCAGAAAGACGGACCCTCCAGGACACCATGAGGAGCGCAGCCAAGCCCTGGAGTCCAGGCATCAAGGTGGGCAGCCAGGGGACTGACCACGCGCGGCCCCTGCCTGCAGCCTCTTCTGGCATGAAGAGTTCTAAATCCTCCACCTCACTGGCCTTTGAGTCCCGACTGAGCAAGGTATGGCCCGAACGCACAGGGCAGGGCTGCTGGGCATCTTGGTGGCCCTGCCAGGGAGGACTGAAGGGGCAGGAAGCAAGGCTAGTGACCTCTCCAGGTGGGAAAGGAGGAGCAGTTCCTAGGAGAACAAGTGTGTCTTGACGTAAGGAACAGAGCAGAGGGGCTGTAGCAGGAAAGGAAGTCTGCATAATGCTTAACAGAATAACTCAGACCCTCTGCCCTGGCTTACGTGGACTCTGCAGCCAGAGTTTTGCCCCCAGCACCCACTAGATAGGGGCACAGAACCAGTGATCTTCATGACCCTGGCAATCCCACCGTCCAGTCAGCCCCGTGCCTTACTTGCGGGTGTGCAGTGTTGACATGGGTCAGGTAGCACCCTCTTCGGGGAATGCCTGACTCTGGGCTTTCTCCTCCCACCCTCCAGGGCAGTACCGCAGAGTCTCCTCTACTGGCTGCCTCTCAGCCCTGGGTTCCTAACATCAGGAAGGCCTACGCACAGTCTTCGGGCCTCATCTCTTTCCTTGCTACTATGTCACTCCCACTGCCTCCTTTACTACCCCGAGATGAAATTCGTAGATCAGATAAACTACCTACACATGTACTTCTGAAAAATAAATATAATATCCTAACTATTAAAAAAGCATAAGGAAAATAATTTACTATGAATCACTGTATTTCCAGCGGCACATCCTGAGAACGCCTATGCTGAGGGACCCACGGCTCTGTGGTGCCCACCCACTCAGGTCATCCTGTCGATGGCTCAGATACCATGAGGGACATTGAGGGAGTGACGTGCTTGTTTGAAATGGCAAACACTTGTGGTGAAGTTATAAACTGAAATGACATCTTCCCATTAGAAAGTTCAGTGCATCTTCAAGTTGTGCAAGATTTGCATTGCTTTTATCTGTAAAATGAAGGGATGCTCTAGGCTCAGATTGTAATAAAAAGGTGCTCTCCCTTTGTGAACGTCTGCAGGATATGTGAAAATTGTGTGGAGTGTGGGACAATTCTTTGTGCAAGATTGTCACATACATTGTGGGACATCTGGGTTCCACACCTGCCACCCATTAAATGTAAGTAGCACTTCAATCATGGTGACAACTAAAAGCACCCCCACAGATTTCTGACCTGCTCCCTGGGGCACAGCACCATTCCTGTTGAAGACGACTGTTTTAGGTGATTGTGCCTGTTCCCTTGTATTTTAATACTGTGTGTGGACAAATCTGCCTCTCCAGCCAGGCCCCCTCCAACTGCCTTTGTGGCATCACCCCTTGGATGTCTAACAGGCACCTTGAAAGTAACATGACCAAAACTGAATCTTGATTCTTCCCCTCTGTCTCTCCCACCCCCAAACCTCCTCCTCATGAATCTTCCCATTTGAGTAAATAACAACTCTGTTCTTTCTGTCACTCAGGCCAGAGCCCATGGCATCATTCTTGGGCCCTCCTTTTCTCCCATCTACAGTCCATCAGCAGAGAGCCATCACTTCTACTTTACAAATAGATGTCAACTCCAACCAACCTCCACTGCCTCCCTTGGGACCACCTGCATGTGCCACCACCTTCCTTGCATGGGCTTCTAAGTGGTCTCCTGCTTCTGTCTTTTCACCCTACATTCCATTCTCAGCAGAAGCCAGAGTGGTCCTTTTAACACATAGGTCATGTCACTTCTCTGCTTAAAACCCTCTAGGGGCTCTCCCCATTCACTCAGAGTAAAAAGCAAGGTCCTTGACAAGGCCAGGGATGCCCTGAGATCTGGCCCCATTCCCTCCCCCTGATTATCACCTTCCCTTTGCACTGGCTCTCTGAGCTCTGGCTCCCATAGTCTCCTGGTGCCTGGTGGTGCTGTCCTACTGAGGAGCTGGGCACACCCCTGTGGCTGCATGCTTGCTGCCCCCTCTGCCTGGCACATTCCACCCTGCAAGGTCTGCACCTCCACCACGTCTTCTCTAAGTCTGTGCCAGTGTCACTTTATTGGACGTTGTCCCTGATAACTTTATGTGAAGTGCCTCTTGGCCTCCATACACCCTCCTCCCCCTTCCCTACTTTCCTTCTCAGCCCTTAAGACCATTGCACACACCTGCTTGGGTAACGTGTAGCTGCACAAAGGCCTGAATGTAAGCCCCACAAGGGCAGGGACCACCTGCCTTCTTGAACAGCTCTGCTTCTCGTGCTTGGAGAAGCAGGTGCCACCTGGCAGGCACTCGGCAGTCATTGGGTGTCTGAGAACACATTCTCTGGCAGTGGCTTCAAATGGAAAGCTGGGATGCGAGGAATGCCATCTAGGGGTGGGCAGACCAGGCCCAGCTGGGAACCTGGCTCTGCCACTCTCTGGCTGAGCCCTCAGGCAATCTCTGTAGCTGTCCAGAGCTCTGAGATGAAGGTAACACCTTATTTGCTGTAAGGAGAAAATGTGGAAAAAGTATCCTGCATGCAATTTTATTATTGTGTTATCCCGGACCAGACCATTATCTCCACAATTTTTATTTTGTATTATCTTTGACCTATAACACATTTGGGAGACATCTTTAATTTAGATTTTAAATTAATATGTTCATGCACTAATCCTGCCTGTCTCCTGTGCCCAGGGGTGTCAGGGCCCCCCACTGCTGAAAAGCAGTCTCACAGTTTAGGCATGTTCTGTATGAGTCTTGGAAACCCACTCAGTCTTTTTTTTTTTTGTAAGGATTATTTTTATTATGACTTAATCAAAATTAAATGGATTCTCCTTCAAAGAAGGCCACTTTTCTAGGTTTCTGCTTCTACAGAGCAGAGAGGGGCTGGAGCCCTTCTCTGCTTCACCCCTGTTACTCTCCCAGAATGGCAGTCAGTCTCACATAATCATTCTTGGGGAGTGTTCTATACCTGTGCTGCCAATGCAGCAGTTACCAGCCACATGTGGCAAATGAGCCCTTATAATGTGTCCCATCAAAATTGAGATGTGCTGTAAGTGTAAAACACATATCAGATTTTAAAGAGGCAAAAGGTAAAATGTCTCATTAATATATTTTACATTGATTAATAGTATTTTGAATATGTTGGGTTAAGAAAGCATATTCTTAAAAGTAATTTTACTTGTTTCACTTTACTTTCTTGATGTGGCTACTAGACAGTATAAAACTACATATGTGGCTTGTATTATATTTCCATTGACCGGGCTGCTCTAAGCCATTGGTTCTCAAAGTGTGCTCCCAGAGAGCAGCAGTGTCACCTGGGAACTTGTTAGACATGTACCTTCTCAGGCCCCACCCCAGAACTAGGGAACCATGAGGGTGGCAGGTAGACTGAGGGTTGGGGCACAGGCAGCAGTCTGCGTGTCAGCAAACCCTCCATCGATTCTGATGCTCAAGTTTGAGCGCCATGGCTCTCCATACATGTTTTCTGCCTTTAAAGACCTTTACGTTCTGTGTGATTATTTTAGAGCTTTGGAGCACCCCACCCCCCACCTCCCTAGTCTTTGTGAAATTGAGAAGAATTCCTTAGTTACATTAATCTGGGAGCTACTTATTTTTTTCCCTTTGTAATCTTGCATGTGCAGGTGCTTGGCAGCTTAAATATCAGTGAAACCGTTAGTGGAAACACTTATTAAACACATCAAAGGAACATTGAAGCACACACCTTTGTGGAGATCTTCTATAACAAACCAGAAGTCCCAGTAGTGCTGAAGGTGCCTTCATGACCAGGAAACAAAACCAAAACTGCAGCCATGATGAGAGAAAGAACAGGAATTAGTAACTGAGACTCATAGCTTTCCATACCTGATGTAGGCAAAAAATGTGACAGGGGAAGGGGAGCTCAGGTGTTTGTTTCGGAGGCCAGGGAGGATCTGTTTTGAAGTCTTGATGTCCTGCCTCCTGCGTGAGCTTCTAGGCAGCAGATCTTTCTCAAAGGGAATTCCTTGTGGAAGGTGCAGGGGGATGAAGTGCTGTAACACATTTTTTGCTACCCGAAGTCCCCGTGCTGTGTGGTAAGGAGATGGCATGAAGCCTGCAGCACTTCTTATATGTTCTTCTGCCTGGAACAGATAGGATCAGATCTACTTATAATGCAGAGCGGGACCACGAAGGTGGGTCTTCCCACTGCTTGCTGACCCCTGGCCTCTCACCAAGAACCAGGCTCATGGAAGAGGGGAGTTGGGGCCAGTGAGACCCACCCCAGGGCCGGGGGTGGGATTGCAGGGGGCAGTTTCACTTCTGGCCCACAGGGGTCCTCTCCTTTGTTAGGTCCCCTGTTCTGGTTTGATATTAGTAACTGGAGAATCAGACAAAGCAGAGCCAAGTGCATATCATTTGCATTATTATGTTAAGAATTCCCCTAACTGCGATGATTTTCCTTTTTCATTCAAGGTGTTGTCTAGGGAATTTTCAAAGTCTAAAATCAGAATTGATTTTCCTTTGGGGACCTGGGGCAGTGCCTGGCCATGTTTCCAGGCAGAGTGAATCATTTTTTTCTGTTGAGAACAAGTTGCTGACATTATGAACTGTTGTCATGTAGTAATAGACATGTATTACCCTGGTGACCTCTTGGATAGTTTGAGAGGCGGGAACTCTTGTTCCTTTGAGACGGGAGTAGGAAAACAGTTATGGGGTCCTTGTAAGAAAGGCAATTGAGTGGTTTCTGCATCAACCCAAGTATCCTATTTAGTCCTGTTGTTAAACTATGAGTCTTGGCTGTTGGCTAGAAAATGTCCCATTTACTTCTAATAACAGGAAATGCAAGCAAATCATCCTTTCATAGCTATTTGTGGTTTTTTTTAATAGTAGTTTGTTTAAAGATCTTGACTAGGATTACTTGGGTAATAGTACGACTTTCACCATCTTCCCTCTTGTAGAAGAAGGCTGTGGGGAGTTAACGTTTAATGCACAGAGCTTCAGTTTGGGATGATGGAAGAGTCATGAGATGGGTGGTGGTAGTGACTGCACCACACTGTGAGTGTGTTTAATGCCACTGAACTGTACATTTAAAATGGTATATTTCATGTTACTTGTATTTTACCACAATAAAATTAATTTCTGAATTAACAATGGGGGAAACAGGGGGAAAAATAGACTAGCATTTGCAGGGGAGGAATCAGGGCTTTGCCCAAATTGTAACACCCCCCCCCCCATTTTCTCTTTCTCTTTTGTTGAGACTTAACATACTTACAAGAAAGTACATAAAATGCATAATCTTTGTCTTAGCCTTACTGCCAATTGAATTCTTACATGTTTATATTTGTGTAACTACCACCCAGTCAAGATGTAGAACCTTCCAGCAGCCCAGAAGGTGCCTTCCCAGCCCAGAAACTCCCCCAGAGATAACCACTGTTGGCTTCTGTCACCATCACCTGGTTCTAACTTCGTAGAAATGGAATCAGGAAGTAAATGCTCTTTTGAGTCTGTTTTTTTTTTCATTTAGCATATCTGTGAGATCTATCCACTTCTTAGTGTATCAGCAATGCTTTTTTTTTTATTTCTGTGTGGTTTCTATTATATACTATACCACTATTTAATTTAGCCTGCCTCCTGTAAGAACATTTGGGTTGTTGTATTTTTTGGATGTTATAGATAAAGCTGCTATGAATATTCTTTTGGTGTGCCTCTGTACATACTCCCCTTGGGTATAGATCCAGGAGCAGAATTGTTGAATCACAGGATGCAGAGTATCCAGCTTCAGTAGATGCTGCCAGTTTTCCAAAGCAGTTTACAAGTTCACACTCTCACCAGCAGAGCCTAAGAGTTCCAGTTGCTCCACAATTGCCCAACACTTAGTTTTGTTATTTTTTTCTCTTTCAAGCCATTCTGGTGTATGTGTAACAACATCCTGAAATTTAAACAAAGCAAGAGTAAAAAAAAGTGTCTTAATTGTGTAAATATTTAAGGCACTAGTCCTCAATAAATGACCCCAAAGCCAGTGGAGCAGGGCCTCTGGGCCCCCAGCCAGTGTGGTGGACAGGGCTGCCTGCTCCATGTCTGTTGATGTGAGGCTTTTTCATACTGTTTTCTCCAGATGTCCGATATATTTGTGGTGGCTCTGGGCCTCTGCCTCTCTTGCCTCTAGTACTGTTCCTCTTCAGCAGCATTCTTAAAAGAAACTTTTCAGTGGTTGAGAGAATTTATTTGCAGCGTTTCTCATTAATCCTGAATATAATTTGTCTGGCCCAGAAATGTGAGCTCTTTAGGGGTGCCCTCTCTTAGACTTCAATTCCTTTCAACAAGTATTTGTTCTACTCCTTTAATGACAGGGAAGAAAGGAGAAAAGGAGAGGAGGGGCTCTGCTTTCTTCCTATCATCCGCTGACAGTGTTCTGGCCTCTGGAGAAGTTCCTTTCTTGCTTTGAATAGGGTGTCTGTATGACATCATATACAAGTTCTGGTCATAGATCACATCATAGGTACTCAGATTTTTGTAGCTCTTCCTTCTACATGCTCCAGATATATATTTTTAGGCCATTTTTTGTTGTCCTTTAATTTTTTTATGCATTGCCTTATTATGACCTTTGAATATCTCATACTTAAAAAAAATTTTTTTAACCAGGAATTGAAGCGGTTTTTTTTTAACTCATTATTTGAAGTGTGACATGATGGGTAATATTCACAAATAATCTTATAATATGCTCTGAAACAGTAATGTAAGAATACACTCTCCTGTAAATGATAGACACAGGTCATTCTAGATGTGCATTTGTCCACTGGACACTATTGTGCTCCTCAAAGTGCATCATTGCTACACTTTAACCACGGGGCAGGTGGTACTGCTCGGATGATTTCTTGGTTTATAGCACTCCTTACTGAAAAGGTATCTCTTCATCCTCTCTCTTAGCTCAAGAGAGCCAGTAGTGAGGACATGCTCAACAAACCAGGAGGAGCCACTGCTTCTGGGGTAGTCCGCCTGAAAAAGACTTCCACAGCCGGAGCCATCTCTGAGCTCACTGAGAACCGCCTGAGGAGCAACTCAGGTAGGAGGGACCCAGGCTGGAGGGACCCAGGGAGCAGGGACCCAGGCAGGAGGGACCCAGGGAGCAGGGACCCAGGCAGGAGGGACCAGGGAGCAGGGACTCAGGCAGGAGGGATGCAGGCAGGAGGGACCCAGGGAGCAGGACCCAGGCAGAACGGACCCAGGAAGCAGGGACCCAGGCAGGAGGGACCCAGGGAGCAGGGACGCAGGCAGGAGGGACCCAGGGAGCAGGGACCCTGGCTGGAGGGGTCTAGGCAGGAGGAACCCAAGCCAGCAGGAGCTGGGCATGCCATATGAAGTTTCATGAATGATTCATGCATCCCTTCCCAGATCAGATCTGTACTGAGCACTTCTCTGGTCTGGAATATATTTTAGGCAACAACTTCCCTGCCTACAGGGAGTTTACATCTAATCGGAGGACAGACAAGAAACAGAAAGGTAATAAGGGCTGCTATGGTTCTCTGTCTGTCCCCTAGTTGTCCATCTGTCACCTTGCTTGTGTGACATCCTTTTGAGATCCAGGCGAGGTGGTGTATGTCCTGGGTTGTCCTGGGAGGTGTGCATTAGATGAGCATGTGGACCCTGTCTGTCTCTCCCAGACGAGGAGTCATCCTGTGCAAAACTGGGGAAATCCTCCCATAAAGGCTGCTCTGAGCCGCTTAGATGGCAGTGGCCTCTGGGACCTGTAAACTTTGTGTTAATAGCTTTCTGAGAATTGAAAAAGGGCTTTTTAAGCATCATGCTTGAGTTCAGAGCATGGGAAGCATAAAACATTGGAGGATGTATTTGGTTTTCTTGTGGAGCGCATCAGTGAAGAAGCTAAGCTTCCTGTGGCCTAATTCTCATGCACCTCTCCATGTGTGGCTAAATTGTCTAAGATGGAAAAACTGTCAAAAATATGTCATAATTAATTTATAATAGAGGTTGAATGATAGTATGCTTATGATTTTACGCTCTATATAAAATACCACAGCCCAAATTAGCTTTCCAAAGGTTTTAATATATTCAGCTTTAAAAAGTTGAACTATGAAGTATATATGTGGGGCGTTTTTTTTTTTATGTAGGGGTAATGACCTCATGTTTCTGTGTAATGCTTTTATTATTTTAAAGACTGGTTTTATACTAAATACACACATTTGGTTTTAAAATACAACAAGTGAAATTACAACTTATTTTTATCAAGCCAACCTAACACTAACTCCAAAAGTTAACAAAGAACCATTTAAAAAAAAGAACAGTCTCTCTCTCAAACATTGATGCAAAAATGTGACATCAAAACACTAGCAAATAAAATTCAAAAAGAAATCAAAAGAACAAGCATGCACATCCCAACCAAGTGGATTTATGTCTTCCACGAATGGCTTAATGTTAGGAAATTTAGGAATATAATTCATCATATAATATTAATAGACCAAAGAAGAAAAACCATTGGTTATCTCAATAGAGATGGAAGATGTACTTGACAAAATTAGCAAATAATCATGCTGATATAAAAACCCACTCTTGGTGTGCTATTAAGGTATGGATATTTCTGTAGTGATTTAAAATGTATCTCCATCCACTACATCAATAAAAAGAAGGACAAAAATCACATGATTATCTCCATAGATGCTGAAAAAGCATTTGACAATATTCAACACCCATTCATGATAAAAACTCTCAACAAAATGGTTATAGAGGGCAAGTACCTCAACATAATAAAGGCCATATATATGACAAACCCACAGCCAACATCATACTTAACAGCAAGAAGCTGAAAGCTTTTCCTTCAAGATCAGAAACAATACAAGGATGCCCACTCTCCCTACTTTTATTCAACATAGTTCTGGAGGTCCTAGCCACAGCAATCAGACAAAACAAAGAAATAAAAGGCATCCAGATTGGCAAGGAAGAAGTGAAACTGTCACTGTTTGCAGATAACATGATATTGTACATAAAAACCCTAAGGAATCCACTCCAAAACTACTGGAACTAATATCTGAATTCACCAAAGTTGCAGAATACAAAGTTCATACACAGAAATCTTTTGCATTCTTATGCACTAACTATGAACGAGCAAAAAGAGAAATCAGGAAAGCAATTCCATTCACAATTGCATCCAAAAGAATAAAATACCTGGGAATAAACCTAACCAAGGGAGTGAAAGATATATACCCTGAAAACTATGAAACACTCTTGAGGGAAATTAAAGAGGACACTAACAAATGGAAATTCATCCCATGCTCATGGATAGGAAGAATTAATATTGCCAAAATGGCCATCCTGCCTAAAGCAATCTACAGATTCAATGCAATCCCTATCAAAATACTGACAGCATTCTTCAACGAACTGCAACAAATAGTTCTAAAATTGATATGGAACCACAAAAGACCCCAAAGAGCCAAAGCAATCCTGAGAAGGAAGAATAAAGCTGGGGGGATTATGCTCCCCAACATCAAGCTCTACTACAAAGCCACAGTAATCAACACAATTTGGTACTGGTACAAGAACAGACTGATAGAACAATGGAACAGACTAGAGAGCCCAGATATAAACCCAAACATATATGGTGAATTAATATACGATAAAGGAGCCATGGACATACAATGGGGAAATGACCTCTTCAACAGCTGGTGTTGGCAAAACTGAACAGCTATGTGCAAGAGAGTGAAACTGGATTACTGTCTAACTCCATACACAAAAGTAAACTTGAAATGTACCAAAGACCTGAATGTAAGTCATAAAACCATAAAACTCTTAGAAGAAAACATAGGCAAAACTCTCTTGAATATAAACATGAACAACTTCTTCATGAACATATCTCCTCGGTCAAGGGAAACAAAAGCAAAAATGAACAAGTGGGGCTATATCAAGCTAAAGAGGTCTGTATAGCAAAGGACACCATCAGTAGAATAAAAAGGCACTCTACAGTGTGGGAGAACATATTCATAAATGATATATCCAATAAGGGGTTGACATCCAAAATATATAAAGAGCTCACACACCTCAACACCCCAAAAGCAAATAACCCAATTAAAAACTGGGCAGAGGAGCTGAACAGACACTTCTCCAAAGAAGAAATTCAGATGGCCAACAGGCACATGAAAAGATGCTCCACATCGCTAATCATCAGATAAATGCAAATTAAAACCATAATGAGATATCACCTCACACCACTTAGGATGGCTACCATCCAAAAGACAAACAAAAACAAATGCTAGTGAGGATGTGGAGAAAGGGGAACCCTCCTACACTGCTGATAGTAATGTAAATTAGTTCAACTATTGGGGAAAACAGTATGGAGGTTCCTTAAAAAACTAAAAATAGAAATACTATTTGACCCAGGAATTCCACTCCTAGTAATTTACCCTAAGAATACAGATCCCAGACTCAAAAAGACATATGCACCCCTATGTTTATCGCAGCACTAGTTACAATAGCTAAGATATGGAAGCAACCTAAGTGTCCATTAGTAGATGAATGGATAAAGAAGATGTGGTACATATACACAATGAAATATTATTCAGCCATAAGAAGAAAACAAGTCCTACCATTTATGACAACATGGATGGAGCTAGAGGGTATTATGCTTGGTGAAACAAGCCAGGCAGAGAAAAACAAGTATCAAATGATTTCCCTCATTTGTGGAGTGTAACAACATAACAAGACTGGAGGAACAAAACTGCAGCAGACTCACAGATTCCAAGAAGGGACTGGTGGTTACCAAAGGCAAGGATGTGGGAGGGAGGGAGAAGGGGATTAAGGGTCATTATGATTAACACACATAATGTAGGGGGAGCACGGGGAATGAAGTATAGCATAGAGAAGACAAGTAGAGACTCTATAGCATCTTACTATGCTGATGGACAGTGACTGTAATGGAGTATGTGGTGGGGACTTGATAATGGGGGAATCTAGTAACCACAATGTTGCTCATGTGATACCTTAATTTAAAAAAAAAGAAAAAAAAAGTATGTATCTCAACCAAAGTCAGAGCTATGCAATAGTGAAATCCTAGAAGTATTCTCCTTAAAATCAAGAAAGATTTGGGATTGTCTGCTATCACCACTGTCATCTGAATTTTTCTACAAGTATTAACCAAGACAGGAAAGCCATAGCTATATAAATATTGGAAATGAGGAAACAAAGTGATGATTTGTGTAGATAATAACATTGTATGTTTAGTAAAATTCTTAGGATTTAATGACATTTTTATCACTAGAAAAAACTTACAGAATGTCCTGAGACTCTATTAGATATAATAAAACTTCATTGTGTGACTGGTTATGGAATTTAAAATATGAATAGCTTTCTTATCAGTGACTAGTAATTAACAATAATATAAGAAATATATATTTATCATTTATAAATATACATACTTATAAATATATATATAAAGTATGTATATATAAGAAATGCTCCCATTTATAAAGGAATGAAAAAGGTAAATACTTAGGAATAATTATTACAGGAGCCTGTGTTTAAAAAAAATCTAACGTCTCTTTTGAAAGACATAAAAGAAGGCATAAGTAAATAGAAGGATATACATGGTTCTTGGGTAGGAAAATTAAATATAATAAAGGTTAATAAGTACAGTATATTAAGTGTACTAAAAAATGCCTAAATTATTCTGTAAATTCGTTTTCATCCAAGTTAAGATACCAGTGGGAATGTGGGAATGGAAACACTGATGAAATTATACTGAGTTTATTTAAAACAGTGGTTCTCAACTGGGGGCAATTTTGCCATGGACCCAAACCAGGGAATACTTGGCTGTATCTGCAGACATTTTTGACTGTACAAATAAGGGCGTGCTACTGGCATCTAGTGGTCAGTGTGCAGGGCTTCTGCCTAACAACCTACGATATACTCTGAACAGCACCACCACCCACTCCCAGTGGTAATCCAGCCCCAAACATTAATAGCATTGCTGTTGATACACTAATCTAGAAGAATAAATATTCTGGAATAACCAGGACATTTCTGAAAAATATTAATTAAGGGACTAACCTGAAACATCTT